TAATAATAATAATAATAATAATAATAATAATAATAATAATCAGTCAATTGCAAAAGGCAGCTTTACTTAGAACAGCTTACATCCTGCAACAATACCTTTAACACCATGAAACAATATCTGCCTATCCCAGGTCCTTGGGAAGTACTCAATAGGTGGACAAAAATGCCAAATCTAGTCTAAACATCTGGCTGTTGACCAACAATAACAATAATAATTTATTGATTAGTTATAAGGCCATATCAGAATACAAAATGCAAAACAATAATTATATAAGAAGATAAAAGGCAGAACTAAAAGGAAATACAAATCATATTTCTGTATTTACCCCAGTCAGATCCATATATGCTTATTCCAATACAGCCTGAGATTGTTGGAGCCAAGAATCAAAAAATAAATTAATACACATTAATTAATTAATATGCAAATTGTGTAAATGTTTTTGTAGTTGATGTGCATGTGCACCTTCTTCATTAAAGCTTGAGATCAGGTAGCCCTACTTACAGTACAAATAGGAGAGTTAGGGAAATAAAATTACCTAGATCAAATGTCTTATTTGACCATTATAAATAGGGATGAAAAGTTGGATTATTCCTAATCCTTTTTTTAGAGAGCAAAATGTTTCTTTTTATTATTAGAAGTTCTTTACTGAAGGTAGCTCTTTGCTCCCTAAAAGCAAAACTGTGTGAAGTAAGCAAAAGATTAATTTACTAAGGCTCATCCTTGTTTTAACTAACCGTGACAAAATCTGATTATCTTTAAAGAGTTTAAGATTCATTTGATTACTAAGGCCATGACTGGGTTAATTACGTAATGTGAGTCTTCAAGGGATATACCATTTCAGATTGCCTACAATCTAGAATGTCCCTCCCACCCCAAAGAAAACAAAGAAATAAGTAGGAAGAAAGACAGTAAGAATGGTTTTTTTCCCCTGTGCTGAAAGACTTTGGAGAAAGCCTTGCTCAGCAAAAGCTTTAGATATATGTATCATTGTACAGGTGGGTCTCAGTTAATGAATCCCACAAAATGGTCATATTATTCGAATTTGCGCTATTCGAAGTGACATTTCTATGGAAAATAGGATAATTGGTTCCAGCTTGACGGAAATAGCAACTTATATTTTTAAACATAAATTTTTATATGTTTATTAATGAAATACTGTATAACAGTGAAAGAGGATCAACCCATATCCAAAGTGTACCTGCTATCTCCTGTATTCTGCTGTATTTCTTCAAAATGAGCCTCTTTGTTTTTGAGCTTTCCTCAAACGGAACCTTCCTTTTCTCTGTTTTTGCGCACACAATGATTAGTGTCTAAAACCCAATGCCAACTGCACACGTGCTAGCCTCAACCACGGGTGCACTAGCCTCTCACTAACTGAATTTTGTCTCACATTAAACAGACCTGGTATTAATTTATAATTTGCACTAAATTGAATATCGCACTATTTGAAGTTGAACTAATCGTGACCTACCTGTACATATAACTTTTTTTTAAATAGCATCTATCTTTTAAGTAGCCTTGCTTTCCAGATGACATTTCTTCTTTTTTCTTTCTCCCTCTCTCTCAGCGGTCTCTGAATTGCAACGATACCTATATTGAAGAACCAAATATGTATCGAACCACAATTGGGGAATCCACAGTCTCCTTAGAAAGCACCGTCAGGTCAGCCAACAATCACAATAACTACTTTGCTTGTATCCTCAGGTAATCTGGTAATGGTGCATGGTTTTCCAGATTTCCTTCTCTTTTTGTGTTTCTTTTACAAATAAAATGATTCCTTGCCCCATTGGCAAACAAAATAATGTGTTGCCCCTTTTGCACAAATTGTCCTTGCCTCCATTCTCTGCAGATCTGTTCTTATGCAATGTATTCTCTCTGCACCCTTGCAGTGTCTGTGCAGTTTGATCAGACAAGAACAGTAATGAGCAATGGTTCACTTATTCTATTATCTACACTATCATGTAATGCACCAGGGGAAGATGACAAAATACAGTATAATTTCTAGTTTTGCTTAAATTTTTAAGCGTTGATGGGGAACAATTTATTTATTTACATATTTGATTTAGTAGAGATGAAGCCCAGAAACTCAGTATATCAAGTCAAGCAAGAGCTGGTAATACTGAAGGAGATTCCTCCATCTTCCACAGGAAGCCATCAAAATCGAATGGTAAGAGAAATACAAAATCCAATGGGTTTAATTAATACACCTTTTTTTCAACTGCTTGCCAGTTAGGATTATATTTCTTAGTTCAGTTTTATTAACCTGATGCAAATCAAAAAGCACAGGATGATGGTCTAATTATCAAGTACCATCAGCTAAAATAAACCCATGGAGTAGAAATACTGTAGCTTAGATTTTATCTATTTAGCAAATCAGAGTTTTTAACAGTAAGAAAGATAAGGCCATACATAACAGGAAAGCAGAAGTAGAAAGCACTGGTTTCAAAGGAGGAAAAAACAGTTAAAACGCTCAGTGAAAATCCTAGGGTTTGGACCACATACAAATCAGTCAGTGATCCTGATTTGGCAGGCATTTGAACCTGGCTCCCCTTGGTCCCTTAGCCATTTTCACAGAGCACATGCTGGAAGGCATCATTCCAGCCAGTTTACTCTATATTACATCAATTTACATCTTCTTTCCTTACCACTAGCTTCCATTTGAATGAGAAATAAAATGCAGAACATCTAGATTAGGCTTATAGACATCTGGGTTTTTATTTGGTGTAGTTGTTAAGGTGATGGAATAGAACTAGGAGAACCCAGATCCAAGTCCACCTTCACTGTGGTGTGTCTCCTATGTCTCCATGACTATATGGTGGCTGAAGGCCACAGTGCTATATGTGGGTTGACCACATGTGCCCTTCCACTAACGCTTATTCCTCCCACTCTCAAACAAGAGTGATGGCTAATGGAGTCCATGAACCATCTTCCTCTTGAAAAAAACAGGTGGGCAATTATCCACAGGAGAGAAATTAATTACCAGTGTTAGATTTTACTCATACTGCAGATTTCTAGTATCAACCTCACTTGGCTGTATCCTTGCATATAGTAAAATGCCAGTATAGTAATGGGAAATCTATGGCAAAATTCAATTTTATTTGTCACAGCTCATTTCACTGGCTGTGTGGTTATTTTTGTCCACAGAGCATGATTCTGATTCTGACAGTGAACTGTCCCTTGATGAACACAGCAGTTCGTATGCCTCCTCTCACTCGTCAGATAGTGAGGAAGATGTGATAGATGTGGAGAAGAAATGGAACACTGGCACTTTGAAAAACAATGAGAGGGTCCCAATCCACAGCACTCCCAAAGGTAAAAGAGCTTCCCCCTTGGAAAATGTAGACTTACTGCCCACAGAAAGCCAGTCAGAGTGTGGTTCTTTGAGCACAATATGTTGGTTACTTCAAGATTCCATCAGTAAAATTCAAATATTCATAATCTCAGGCTTCTTATAAAGAGAGTGCAGTATTTAAAATGCTAAAAAACTATAGAAATACATTGCAATCCAAAGAAGTGATTGTGTTGTACCAGGAGATCCTCTAGATGACCTACTGTCAGAGAAGCAGACTCTGCTGTTCACCTACAAAAGGGGGTTCACTTTGCTGCAATAGCAACCATTGCAAGGAAAGACACAGTTCCTGCATGCTTTGCAGAGCTAAATAGGCACTTTGGATGGGGTAAGTGGTAGTATTTGTAATTTCAAATTATACTTGAGAAGTTGGAGAACTATAGTTTAAAGCTACTTTTATATTTTGATTTTTTTATATCTCTGCGCCTATTTTTTTTTTCACATTACATACATGGATACAAGTGCATTAACTGAACAGATGAAAAAGGAAAATTAAGTAAACTTATCAGCTGTGGGTAGAATCATTCATATATTAACACCCTATAGATTAGCTCACATAGCCCAGGTTATAGGTATGTTGGAATTAAAAATGTTATCCTCATTTCATATCATCATATCATATCATCATGGGTTATCCTAATGATGTCCTTGAAGAGAAAACATGTCTAATCTCTTCAAGAATACAGAGCTTTTCTCCATGAAATACAAGGATGGACTTTTTACTAAGCCAACATTGCTGAAAGGATATTTCAAGGACATCTAAGTTCAAGGATTGCAGAAATTGGAGATGGGTCATTGCGGTACAGGAAAGCTGATGGAGAACTGTTAAATCAAGCAGCTTGAGCAGAACAGATCTCTTGAATCATGCAATAGAGACTTAATAGCCCATTCAGTGGTGGGAAAAAGATATCTGCTCCTCATTCTACTGCTGGGTTTTCAGCAACCTTGGTGGAGGCAGAAAAATAGGAAAATGAAATTGAAAGTAATTGAGGAAAAAAGAAGGAATCATGGGCCTGAAATTTTGTGCAATCCACTTTAATGCCAGTATGACTTTTTGCTAACAGAAAGTGCTTTCAGACGGTGGAAACAAAACAAAAACACATTTTGTTTTTAATGCTATTTTTATTTAATTTTCTGTGTGGAATGAAAAGGACCGAAGAAACAGTGGCAGAGCACAGAAGGGGTACAGTTGGAAGATGTGGTTCTTTGGCTCCCTTATAAAATCCCATCTTGCACAATAAGTGTCTCGTCTGATATATGTGGTCCCATTCCCTAAGTTGCATTTCAAACATGATCCTAAATGGCGAGACTGGTGTCAGTAAAATCAAATCCAGTGCCTGGATACACAGTTTCACATACTGGACTAAGCTATTTTTGGTCCTGGCAGGTCTACACCCACCTCCACCCCCTGGGTCCTTTCTGATAATTTTGCTCCATTATGGGCCAAGGCAGTACATAAGAAACTGGAAGCCTTGGGTTTTTCTTTAACCCAGGCGTGCATACTAGGGCAGAAGCATGCAGTGTAAGATTTGCCCCGTTCGACAAGAGAAACTCCCGTGACACGTGTGGTTCACAAAAGAGGTTTACTCATGCGTAACGTAACAGTTACAAACAAAGCCAGGACTGGCTTGGTACATTTATATTGCTCCTTTATACCTCTCCCCTTCCTGCGCTTTTGCCCCGCGATCGCGTTACCGCCGCGGATTATCAGCCCCCCAATAATCCCCCTTAAGTGTCCAGAATGGCAGGTTCAGCCCGGGTCCCATTGTCCTTGATTGGTAGTCCTCTCCAGCGTGGGTTGGTTCCCTTGGGTTCCTCCCGTCACGTGCAAAACCCGAGCCTTCTGGATTGCGCGGTGATCTCATTTCGCTGCCCGCGGCCCCGCTCATTGTTAGCTCGTGCCGCTTATCAGTGTAAAGTTAAAGCTTCCGCTGCAGTTTTCCCGTTTGGCTAGGTGCAGGTGGCCCATTAATCAACTGCACTTTCAGTTCCTCTTTTCCTCAGCTAGCAGCCAGTAGCGGAGTTAGCGCGGTGCGGCGGCAAGCTTTCCTCGAAGTGCCGTACCGGCCGAACCTGACATGCAGCACAGGCATCACAATCAAGCGTCACATTAAGAACATCAATATTCAATCAGATCTGATGTACCTTCTTAAAGTTATTTTTCTAAGTAGCCCTCACACCCATTCCAGACCTGTCAGATGTAAATTAAATTACTGTCCCCAAACTGAGGAGGGCTCTAACCTTGGCACAATACAGTGCACTTCCACCAGTGGTTTTAGAGGTTGATATAAGAGTTATTCCATCCAAATCTAAACAATGCCCATGCAGAGAAGGAGCTGTTGAAACCATTAGGTATGTCTTGTTTGTTTTGTGCTGATACCGCCACAAGCTGTTAATTCCACAATTAAACAAATTTCCCAGTCATTCTGATCAGTTTTATTTACAGCTTTGACTTTCAGACTCAATGGATTGTATTTCTTTAATTGTGGCAAATTCTGTCATGTAATATGAGAGATGCTCAGCAGCTTGACTGACACACCTAATTAATTAATTCATCAGTTAGTTTTATGTATGCAGTGTGTTTTGTGGACTGGTCATTGACCATAATAAAGAATCTGTCTATCTGTGAGCAGTGAGTCTTTCCTTGCTGATGGACTTTGTCTAAGTTGAAGGTAATTGAAGAAATTTGAAGAGATGCTCATTGAAACTGTAGTTCAAAAAACTGTGTGTGTGTTTTGTTTTAAATATGGTCTTATTTTGTATCCTGCAGTTGATACAGTGCCCAACCATGTGAAACCCTATTGGCCATCTGAAGGCATTGACGCAAGTGATGAGGAGGAGCCAAATGCAAAACAAAAACTGAAGGTGGAAACCAAGGTTAATGTGGAACTTCATCAGGAAAATCAAGTGAATCACAGCAGTGAAATACCTCAGGAAAAAGAGGAAGACGGACAGCAAAAGGAGAATAAACCACTCACTCATCAGAACCACCAGCCACCAGAACAGAGGAAAGGTATTGGGGAAAGTTTAAACTATGAAATTCACTACTACAAAATGGGATGATGGCTATCTAATTATGTGGCTTTAATAGGAGAGAAGATAAATTCATTGAAGATAACTTTATCAATCATTATTAATCATGATAATATGTGATGCCTTCAGGGTCAGACCTATCATGAATATTGATTGCTAGGGAACAATCCTGAGAGAAGACTTTTGCCTTTTGCTTCACTTGTGGGTTAGCCAGAGGTCTTGGTATGGCCACTGTGAGAAACAAATTGTTGAAACAAATGAACTTTCAGCCTCATCTAATATAGTTCTTGTTATGTTCTTAATACAAGTTGCACTACAATGAAAAATAAAGGCTCTCAGAATTAAATTGTTCAATGTTCATAGCTTAAGGCCATTTCATATATTACAATTGGGAAGTATACTTCTAAGGTACTTCAGGTGTAACCTGAAATCATAACATATGGTGACAGACTGTTAAGAGCTGTTATATTCTGACAGAGAAGGACACTCTGGCCTTCCTCTATTTCTCTCAGCCTCATGTGTGAAGTGGCAGAAAGTCCAGTACCCTTGCAGAAAGTTTTTGTGAAATCCCTATGAACATAGGGGGCTTCCTTCAATGCTTTGACCCTAATTCCTTACAAAAATAGTTTATACCATAAAGTAGAAAGAAGTCAGGGTTAAATGCTAATATTATTCCTGTTGATACTACATTTGCTTGGTGGGGCAGGCCGTATCCAGATGGGCATTGTGGATATGAGTGAAGAGTATTACAGAAGTTGAAAACAGAGGCTTTCTTCATGTCAAACATATATATGCATAGAGCATTGCCTTTTACTAAATGAACCTTGTGATTTTTTTTTCATCTGATTATATTAATACGATGGCCACTTCCTCTTCTTCTCTGTGTTAGGCATATTGAAAAATAAAATCACCTACCCTCCTCCATTAGTGGACAAAAATATGAAGAATCGACTAAGGGAAAAACTGTCAGACTATAATCAAACCGCAATTTCACCTAGAACAACTTCCATTGGGACTAATAATGGTGTTCGCTCCACTTCAGACTCTGGGGTAACAATAAAAAACCCAAGAAGAGAACATCCTCCAGAACAGATAAATGGTTTAGCCATGAATGTCCACATGGGAACAATAACGGCTGAGAATAACTCGGATTCTGAGTGAGTGCCAAGTCTGCACATTTACCATGCTTTTCCCACTGTGCTACCTCTCTTGATTTTCTGATGTTTATTTCTTTCCAAAGACTTACCACTTAATTCTTTCAGTGGTTTGTTTTGGACATTCAGGAATGAGCATCAGAGCCATCTGATCTTCCCTTGCTTCTCCTCTTCCTCCTCCTCCACTTCCCTTTCATGTCCTCCAACACTTGCTTTGATCATCACTTGCTTGAAACAGAGTTTTTGTGACATCTAAAAGAGTTATGTTTAGTATAATCTCTGTGATCTAATCAGATAAACTGGATTTGTGTTCTCAGTTTAACTTCTGTCTTCTCCCAAAATGTTTCCTTTACCAGTTATCTTCATCAAAGACCCTGCTCCCCTCCCATATACTTATCAAGAATTTTCTGCCACTTTTTCTTTTGCACTCCATCAAAAATGGGCCACACTTGTGGAAGCTTAGCTGTTGAAGCATGGCTTTTCTTCTACATATTAACATAAATATGATAATCTAGGTAGTTTCACTTGCAGTTGTCAGCTTGGCACTGTTTAACCCTAAGTTGCATGGTTACTTCTTCTCATGAACAGAGGCAGTAATGAAACTTCAATTTGAATCATCAGGAAATTGTGAAGACTCAAAATTACCTTGGATAATTACTCTGCTGTAACATCACTTCCTTGGCACCACTCAAGTCTGCATTTGCTTGCCATGGAGTGAGGATGCCAAGACTGTCACTTCTGGGAATCTGCACCTACTTGTGACAATTCCACAGTTTCCTGTGAGTTGTTCACTAAAGTTAAAGTTATAATCCCTTCAAGGACTCGCCTGACTGCATCAAATGTGCCATATTGAGACCAGCAAATGGAATTTGCTACTGCAAAATAACGCCTTTGAAAAGTGGTCTGAGCCATAGCAATGCTGCAAGGGGTGTTGGGCAGGGCACTCCATCTGAACAAGAGACTTACCTTTGAGGAATACATCATCAATAATACGAAAGATGTATCACCAAGCCCCCATCTGATTTTATGCTGGGGTTTTGCTCTGTTTCAGCAGGATTGCAGAACTCAGGAGGAAGATGTATCTCGTCAAGTGTCCTTTCATTTCTTCTCCAGTTTCTATCCCAGCATGTGGTGGACACCTTGCCTTAAAATACCATTGTTTTATATAAATATATATAAATAAATCTATATATATATATATATAGCTGTAGATAATTTTATATATTTTGTATGGCAGTTCTTTTGTACATTTCATATAATTTCTGTTTTTTCTCAAATTTGATAGCAGGAGAGCAATTGTGAAAGAACTTTGATATTTTTTATATTAAAAAAATTGCACGGGTTTACTTGAATTTGGCATCTGAGCAGAGAGGGAAAGGGAGAGGAATCTAAACTTGATTTGTGAGTCTTTTTAAAAAAGACTGACATGTTAAGGCAGTGTTTCTCAACCTTGGCTACTTTAAGATGTGTGGACTTCAACTCCCAGGATTCCCC